TGCTTGCCGTGGCCAAGGCGTCTCCTGGGGCCGAGGCTCACCGGTAACTCTTGACTCTTGCTTCCTGCCAGATAAGCTGAAATCCACCAAAGAGGAGCATCTCTGCACGCAAAGAATGCTGGACCAGACCCTGCTAGACCTGAACGAGATGTAATGGATCATCCCCACCACTGCCTCTGCCACGCCATGCCCGTGCCAGCCCAGCCGCCGCTGGCCTCTAACCCTTGGGACCAGAGTTTACTTCTTGTTGCCAACTTGACCAAACGCAGCTCTTCTCCCTTGCCTCTGGGTTAAAGGCCATCATCAGGTTGGGCAGAGCTTCAAGAAACGTTATTAAGGGAAATGAGCAATGCAATAATGTTTGGGAGCATGTTTTGAGATGTACACATTTTCTAAGTACCTTTTCTTTTTGTAGTAACCAGTGTGAACATTCCAAGTAACCAGTGAGGCTGCTGAGCTGCACTCGATGCTCTTGGCTTTACAACTGGGTATTAACCTTCTGTTAACCAGCTCTGGGCCACCCTGCCTTGGCCAGGGAGGAAGGAGGGGGTGGCTTCTGGTTCCAGCTGTGGGCCACCCGATGGGAGCAGCTGGGGTAGGGATGTGAGCCTGTTGGGAAAACTTCCTTCCCAGGAGCCTGTTTGCCAAAAGAGCAGTTCAGTTTCTCAGCTTTAAGGTAACTCTGTCGTGGAGAAGCTCTCTGGGTGTAAGGAGGCTTGTAAAGCCAGGCTGTTCTCTGGGCAGTTGAACCTTCACAGGGGTTATTTCCCTTCTCTTCCCCCTCACTGTTGGCCACTTCCCTTCCCCTTGGAGAAGCCACGGCCCCTCTAACCCGTTGCTACACAGGAGCTGAACTCGCCTTCACCGGGTGCTGATGTGCCAAGCTTCAGTGCTCTGTGCTGGCCTACACTCAACAGCTTAAGTACGACAGCCTTGTTCTCTTGGAGGAGCTGGTTTTGCCTACCCCAAGGGAGGGGATCGAGGCCTTCCCTCCTGGCCAGGAGTGCTCTTAGTGTCTTAATAAGGTACAAGCCATCTTGCTGTGCATTGCTGACGTGTCGCTGTGGGGTGTGAGTGCAGAGACGTGTCGGGCTCACGGTGTGTAGCTTCTTGTGTGAGCATGCTGCCTGGTTGTAGCCGGTTTAGGGGCCAAGCCGGAGAAAAGAACCTTATCAAGTGTTTTGATACTAAATGGAACAATTGTCTTACTGTCTTTTGAAATAACCCCCCTCCCTCCACACTGCTGCGGAGCCTCACGCTGTGTGTCCGCTCATCCACCGCCTTTAGGGGCGAGTCCTTCCCTTTAGGGCCGAGTTCGTGTTGCTGCCTTCAGCTTGAGCAGGGGCTGTTGCTCCTGTTTGTGCTGAACAAGGGAGCGGGGAAGGCTGTGGGGAGTGTTGGGAAGGGGGGGAACAAGGCCTAAGGGAAGGGGTATGGAACTGGGTGAGCTTGAAGGTTCCCCTTCCCCCCCCCCTTCC